TAAATAAAAAGAAGTACTAAATTTGCATTTTGTGAAATATTCATATGTAATATTTCCCTATAATGATATCAAACTATAATATTAATGTGTATAATCATTTCCTTTAAATATGTTTCACAGACTATACACACTTTCTTAAGAACCTTTTTTGGGGAGTGGGGAGAGTCAGATATACAGAGAGGAGGAAAGACAGAGAGGAAGATCTTCCATCTGTTGATTTACTCCCCTAATGGCGAGAATGGCTGCAGCTGAACCAACCTGAAGCCAGGAGACTGGAGCCTCCTCTGGGTCTCCTATGTGGGTACAGGGTCCCAAGGCTTTGGGCCGTCCTCAACTGCTTTCCCAGGCCACAAGCAGGAAGCTGGGTGGGAAGCGAGGCCACCAGGATTAGAACCAGTGCCCCTGTGGGATCCTGGTGCATGCAAGGCAAGGACTTTAGCCACTAGGCTATTGTGCTGGGCCCTCAGGTTTTTATCATAGGACAAGCCTAACAAATCTCTGAAAATTGGTTTTTCAAAATTTTATTCAGTATTCTTGTGTTTTTCCAACATATTTCTATTAATTTTTTTAGTAAATACTGTTTACTATAGTAAAAAATGCAGTTAGATTGACCAAGTTATGAATAATGTGTTCAAAATGAAAACCTGATTAAAGCCGATAAAGTACTTTAATTTGCAAGGTATTACTTAAGACGTCCATTCAATGTTTACTTCTTTTGGCTAGGATTTTAAGTTAATAACCTGGAATTACAAATTATTATAAACAAGTATAAATACGTTGTAACAGTAATTCATGAAGTCATTTCAAAGACATACCCAGGGGCCAGCATCATGATGTAGTGGGTTAAGCCAGCAGGGATGCCCACATTCATATGGGTTCTGGCTCAATCCCAGCTGCTCCATTTCCAATCTAGCTCTTTGTTAATGGCCTGAGAAAGCAGCGGAAGATGGCCCAAGTGCTTGGGCCCTTTCTAGCTATGTGGGAGACCCACATGAAGTGCTTGCCTTCAGCTGGCCTGTCCCCAGCAGTTGCTGCCATTTAAGGAGTGAACCAATGGATGGAAGATCTCTTTCCCTCTTCCTATCCCATCTTCCATTTGTCCTTCTGTCTATATAATTCTTGCTTTCAAAAAAATAAATGTTTCATTTTTTTTTAAAGCTCTGAGAATTCCCTTCGGCACTACCATACTTGCCACCGAGCTCAGTGACTTCCGTATGCAGTTTCCCAGGATGCGAGCCCTGAAGCTATATTTAGATGTGATGGTCTTTATATTTAGATGTGATGGTCTTACAATAACCTCAGTGTAAGTCACGCTTATTGAGTGATCCTCCCATGGCTTTACCACCTTTCAGCTGATCCCAATGATCTAGTTTGAGTTTGAAGAGGACAGAAGTAGGCAACCCTTCACTGCACATATTATGACAGACTTTCCCCTGCTGAACACTTCGTTGCAAAGTATCCTGTTGTTAGACAGCCAGCAACAAAGTAAGCTCACATAATGGGAGACTGAGCATGAGGTTGTTAGCCTGGCTCTGACCTTTCTTTTGTCAGGTAAAAGTAACAGCATCTTTACAGGGTCTACATGCACAGCTTGCTTCTCTTCAAGGAGCCCCTCTGGCAAGCCAGTGTCAAGGTTCAGTTTTGTAAGAGATGCACAAAGCCAAAATTGCTCAATAATTTTGGACAATAGTTCCTGTAAAATTTCCAGAGGAAAAAAAAACTAGATACTAAGACACTTCATAGCAACTTTGGATAAAATATTTCATAAACACATGAAATCATATTCTAGAGCTAGTTCAAGTTCATGATCAGTCATGTGACAAATGTCACACTAGGAATTGCTTTGCGGACTCAAGGCAGCTACAGTTAGAGAATCTCAAGCCAAGCCTTCCGTTTTATTTTGAATAAATAGCAAAGAAATGTCAAGAAATTTTACAGATGTTAGCTTCCTAAGATAATATAACAAAGATTCATTTGATAATTTAGTTCCAGGAACCTACTTTGAATATTACAGTACATGATCGCCTTATGCTTCATGTCTCTAGTTTTCCCCCAAGTGATTTCCAAACTCTGCTTGTACATAACGTATGTAAGCTGTGCTCTTTCAAAGTAACCGGTTCTATAGTAAAAGCAAAACTTGTTTTGGAAAAAGTAAACGTTAAAGCTTTTCTTCTTAAAATGCATGCCAACGGTGATGACTGCTATGTGTATTATGGTCTATGGATTAGCTGTTTCCAACCTTCCAACCACCCAGGCACCAAATAGGTACCAAACAATCCACAACCTGCTGTGGAAATGCAGAGTGAAACCACAGCACTGGTCCTAATTGTGTGTAAATCAAGAAGAGTTGAGAATACATGAATTTAAACTGTCTGGTATAGCAATTTAGATGCTTGCATCCTGTCTCAGAGCCCCTTGGCTGGAATCCCAGCTCCGCTCCAGCTTCCAGCTTCCTGCCTATGCACTTGTCTGGGAATCTGCAAGTGATGGTTCAAGCAGTTAGGTCCCTGGCTCCTGCCCAAGCTGTTGCAGTCATCTGGGGATGGTGGGGAGAGAATTAGTGAATGGGACTTGTCTCTGCTTGTCTGTCTCTCTCTCTCCTCTCGCCCCATTTTCCCACCTTCTTCTCTAGCCCCCTCTCTCCTTTGCAAACAAATAAAAACTATATCATAAGAAACAGAATAGTTCAATTTTAAGATGGCTGGAAGATCTTAGTGGGTTGAAGGTTACCTCTGAGTGTCAAAAGAGAAATTAACCATGTTGCTCAAACTGCCACTTGCTCAAAAGCCAGGGGCTAGGGAGGGTGACCCTGATTTCTGACAGAACTCCTAAGTTTAACAATGTAAAGATTTATTTATTTTTATTGGAAAGGCAGATTTACAGAGAGAAATAGAGACAGAGAGATCTTCCAAAGGCTGGTTCACTCCTCAAATGACTACAACAGCCGGAGATGAGCTGATGTGAAACCAGGAGCCAGGAGCCTCTTCCCCATCTCCCACACAGGTGCAGGGTCCCAAGGCTTTGGGCCATCCTCTACTGCTTTCCAAGCCACAAGTGGGGAGCCAGTTGGGAAGTGGAACAGCTGGGAAATGAACCAGAGCCCATATGGGATGCCAGTGTGTCAAAAGAGAGAATTTAGCCAACTGAGCAAACACATTAGGCCCTGTATTTAACACTTTTAAAAAGCCATCCTTGCCTGCAAACAATAAGCATGGAAATAACATAAGGGAGAAAAATTCCAAGATATCTGAACTTGCACACAAACCATACCACACCTCACACTCCAGGGATGCATCTACCCAAGCACATCCTTTTAGGCCTACCCTTTCCTTTGCATTTTATGGAATATTCCATTTTTGAGACATTAGCTGGCCAATCTGACTTTTAGCTACAAAAGCTCATTAAAACATGGTGTTAGACCTAAATCCACACTTTTTTCATGCCTTCTTTAAAAAATGAAGCTGTGCTGTTTCCCATTTTATATGAATATGAACACAGTAGTCGCATATTACTGCTATTTCTAGTGCAAAGAAAAAAAAAGCACCTTCTCTTTGGACTTAATGGCCTCACTGAGGCGGAAATAACACATTTGCTAAGATAGCTGATTCAAAACGCAGTAGGGTATGAATGAAAGGGCTCCAATTTGACGCTGATGATCTAAGGTCCTAAACATTCATTTCCTACAGGATAAGACATAAGAGTGTTTTTGTACCTTATCAATGCCCCCCACCAACATACATACATTACTGCATTCATGCACAATCCATAATGGCCACATTCTACCATAGCCATAGAAGAAGTGATGCATTCAAGAGGTGCCAACAAGTGCTGAATATAGAAACCTTTAATTCCACGTGTAGGTAAACCTAGACTGTGGGCCTGGCCTCCCCTGCTCTGTCCTCCCATCTGAACACCAGACTCCTGGGGTAGGTTAGCAAGAAGAAAGGAGGTAAATCAGGGATTCAGCAACAGGATGCTGCAGGATGTGAGAAACCTGGGGTCTACCAGCTGCCTGGAACTCCCTAGCAGGGGGAGCAACGAAGTCCAGGCAGCAGCATTCTGGGTGGACCAAGATGCTCATTCGTGGTCGACCCCAGGCCCTTTCCGAAAGGTCAGAAATCCTGAAGTCATCCAATTTGTGCCCAGTGATGCCTGCCCAGGAAGCTTCAGGCTTACCCACAAATAAATTCTGATTTTAAAAACAAAAGACAGACAGGCTCGTGGTCGTTCTCACAGGCAACCAATTACTCCCAGGGTTAAAAAGCAGATTTGCAGAGGCCAAAGACTAGACAAAAGGCACGAGCTGGCGACACACAGACCTGGAAATTTTTTTTTTTTTAATTTGTTTTCCTCTAAGTGCTTAGGACCTCCTAGGTCTAATTCTTTCTTCCGTCTGAGGATGACTCTTGAGCAAATTCCCTAGCGGTCTGCAACAAACGTCGGGTAGGGAGGTGGGGGGGGGGGGACGAGGAAAGACCCTAAAACTTTCCCAATCCGCAGCAATCTGGTGGCGGGCAGCAGCGGTGGACACCAGCGTCCAGGGGTGCACCCCGGGGCAGCGACAGTCCCCCTCCCCACAACAAAAGGACCCAGCGCAGACCTCGAGCTCCGTTTCCAGGACTGGAGCACCGAGTCCTAGGCGACCCCACTGGCCGCGACCAAGGAGAAGGAACTGCGCGTCCGTGTTGTGGCATAAAGGAAAGGATCCTGGGATGCACAGCAGAGGAGCCACGGGCAGCTGGTGCCACCGCACCCGTGCCCGCAGGGATCCCCCGGCTCCCCTGGAGCATCGGGCGGGTGGGCCCGCGTCCCTGGGCGGCGCCGCCCCCTCGGGAGCACGGTGCGGGGGGCTGCAGGCCCAGAGGCTGTGGCTCAGGCTGCTGCCGCGGCCGCCGCCACAATGCGGCCCGGGACCCTCCCGTCGCCGCCGCCGCCGCTGCCTCCTCTGCACCAGGCCCGGCGCGACACAAAGCCCCCCGGCCCCGCCGCCGCCCACCAACCTTGGGCTCCGGCGCCGGGCTCCCGCAGCGTCTTGGTCACCGCCTTCCAAACGTGGCAGCCCAGCAGGCAGAGCAACAGCGCTACGGACCTGCTCATCTCCGCGCCGCGGGGCCGGCGGGCGGCTCGGGCTCGCCGACAAGAGCGGGCCGGGGGAGCGGCACGTCAGGGTCGGACGGCCGCGCCTCCCTCCATGTTGCCTGGCTCCGCGCGCGCCGGACCCGCCGCCCGATTGGCCCGGCCCCGCAGCCCGCGGCCGCTCCCTCCTCAGCGCCCCGCGCCGGGTTTCCCTCAAGAGCCGCGGTGGCGGCGGCAGCCCTGCCAGCTCCGCCAGCGCCTTAACCCCTTCCTGCCCCGCCCCGCGGCCCGCGGGCGGCGCCCAGGCCCCGGGCCCACGGTGCCACCTGGCGGCCGCTGCGCCGCGGGAGCCCGGCTCCCGTCGCCCGGATGCCCTGAGGCAGCTCGCTCCCACTCGGCCGCGACGTTCCCTTGCCTCGGAGGATAAAGGGCCCAGGCATTTGTGTCAGGGATGTGACCTTCTTGGGTTTCCTCAGGGTGACCCGCATCCCGCAGCTCTCTCCTCAGTGTCGGCGGGAACGCGACACCCCAAACGCGGGTAGGCGCTCAGTACCTCCGCATTGAAGGAGGAACATAGTGGGGGTGGGCTGGGCTCGGCTATGGGACTAGAAGCTCTAGGGCGAGGCTGGGATTGCGGTGGACTGAGGCTCTGGACTTAGAATGGCGCTAGTGACAGCCCAGTGAAGAAGGCCTTTGGTGTGGGTTCTACTGCCACAGGTGCTTGCGCTGGGTTCAGGGACTGCAAGCACCAGGGGGAGGTAAGGCCAAGGCGCAGCGTGGTATGGGGTGGGGTGAGGTCAGAGGACACCAAATTACCTAGAGGAAACACAGAACTGTGTGGCATTTCAGGTTGAACCCAGCTCAGGGGCTTGCTTGCTGAACACCAGCCAGGAAGACCAGGTGTGACCGAGAGGATGGTCAGGTGGGGAAACCGCGCAGGTATCTGGGATTTGGAGGGAGATGGGTGCTATTGGGGATCCTGGGCTTTTCAAGGGAGTGTACAGATGGGCCTAGAAGGTTCCGGAGTATGCTTTTACTCAGAAGTTATGTGTCAGGCTTCACAATAGTTGCTCCAAGAGGCAGGTATCATTACGCCCATTCACAGATGTGAAAGCAGAGTTGGCATTTGGCTGAAAGCACATAGGTGGTAAGTGGGAGAGCCAAGATTCCAATGAAACAATCCAAAGTTGAAAATCTTCACAAAACCTTCCAGACTTCCCTGAAGTCCAGGATGTGCCCCTGTCCCCAGCCCAATTCCCCTTTGTCTCAGTCGGCTTCTGTCTGTATGCCCTCCTCCATGCAGGGCTCATGTCCCCTGAATCTCTCTACCTGGTGCCCCAGCCAGCATCGCACTGGTCCCCACGTCTGCCCCGGACTTCGGCTCTGAAGAAATCCGCCCTGGACTCAGCATCTGCCCAGGGCTGCTTCCAGAACACCGGGCCAGAAGAAGAGTTATTGTTGTAATTTTATTAATTGAGCATTAAGGCATGGCAGGCACCGTACCAAAAAGAAAATGAAGGATGGCATTTGCCCAGTTGGCTTACAGTAGACAAATTATTATGATACACAATAAAAACTCGGGGGTAGCTAAGCCCATATGGCTTTGATAGTCACCAGTGCTACAAAACTGTGCACCTGCACAGGGCAGCAGGTAGTCAGAGAGGAACCTCACAACTGGTGACTGTTTCCCTTCTTCTGACTGCACCTCCCCGGGACATGGCTATTGCTCCAGGGTCCATCTGGGTGATAGGGAACCAAGTGAGTGGGTGATAGTCCAGCTTAGCCCTCAACTTCAGCTTGGGCACCAGCCCACAACACCACCATGAGGTCAGGCCAGATGGATGGGTGAAGGATGGTTTTGTGATGCAGGCTCAGTCTGAAGCTTACAAGTCACTTTCTTGGGGGCAGAGGGCTACTTCTAAGAGAGGTAGCATTAAGCCTGCCCCAGAAAATGAAATTTTGCCTTTAAGTCCTTTGAGGAAATACCTTTGGTGGAGATGTTAGTTATGAGACAGGACCAGTTGGAGCAGAAATTGAGCTAAATTGTCTGGTCTTAAAGAGTTAAGGAAATCAGTGTTTCGAGGTACCTACTTTACGCCATTCATTGGACTTGGGAATATTTCCTCTCAATAATATTATTGTTTATAGTTCACAGTTGAACAAACTTAGGCTGAGTGACTTTAATTTGCCCAAAACAGAGATATGAAGACCCTAAATTCAGATTCCTATGTTACCTCCAAGAAAATATTTTTTTTAGAAAAGACTAAACTTACCTCTAGCAGTATTCAAACTGTTTTTAACAACCTGGTAATGCCAGCGTGGTCTGAAATTAGTTAGTAGTTTGGTCCCAGTATCAATTTCCTGATTTTGATAAATGTACTGTAGCTATTATTTGTAAGATGTTACTTTTGGGGAAATGGGGGACAGTATACGGACCATCTCTGAACTTTTTTAGTTATTTCCTATGAATCTATCATTACTTGAATTATCTGTCTCTCTATATTTTACAAAATCCTTTTCTATTACCACTTTCCTAAGCTATATTCTTGACTGAAACACCAATCCTAGTATAGCATACTAAACTTTTAAGGGACCCCATCCTGTCTGTAAATGCTCTTGTTATGATTGTATGGAACAGACTCGGCCCTTTAGGGGAAGTCTCTGTAACTTCAAAGCAACCCTGAGCCTTGCAGACATTGCTGCAGGCCACCCTCCTCCTCCCATCTTGCAGATGCTTTTGTGAAACAGCGAGAGGTTAAATCATTCACACAGGATATTCTCTAAGCCAAGAGAGTGGGGACCCCAGGGAACATTGCCTCATCCCATGGATATTTTCCAGTTGTGTGGGTGGGAGGCTAAGCATGCACAAATTCTGCTCCATCCCCAAACAAATCCATTTGCATATCATGTACCCAGAATGATGTAAGAATTAAATAATCACATTTATCCTTTACTGAAATAAAAGAATACGTGTTACCTTTTCTCCTGTTCTGATCATCAGGCACCCACGCAGTCACTTCAGGGAGAAAAAATTGCTTGAGAGGGAGTGTTTTGAGAACAATGGCAGTTAGAAGTGTTATTTCCTTCTAGAACTTTTCCTGTTGCTCTTATTGAAATCTTACATTGTTTGACTAGAGATGAATTATGGCTGTACTTATTTGAAATTGCTCAGAAGTTGCTTGCTTGCAGCATTTGATTTCAATTTTCAAAGCCTGTGCCAAAAGAAGTCAGCCCCACACAGAACTTTTCCTGTCTGGATTTTCCAGAGACCTTGGTTTCAGAAGCTCTGTGTCAAGGTTGCTAAGTTCAACGTTATGCATTGAGATCTGATGTTGGTGTGCATGGGGTAGAACTTGTCTTAGTTTACTTCAGAAGGCCGTTGTCCTTCCTTCTTCCCTTTCCCTTCCCAGCCCCCACCCCCACCCACTCCTGAATTAGAAACTGCCAGTAGACAGAAAACTGCTTATGAAGACTGCACAGATCAGAAAATATGGCTGCCATGTTCCAACTTCTGTATGCAGGCAGTTTTCTTGAACTGAGATACAGTGTAACCACAGATAGACATAAGAAGGAGTTAGCATTTTTTTTTTTTAAGGAAAATGGGCAGGCATTTGGACCAGTGGTTAGATGCTGCTTGGGATTCCCATGTCAGACTGCCTGGGTTTGTACTTTGGCTCTGTTCTTGATCTCAGCTGCCTGGGCTATGTTCCCTGTGGGACAGCAAGCCATGGCTCAGGTATCTGGGTCCCTGCCACCCACATGCAAGTCTCAGACTCGTTGTAACTTAGGCTCTGCACAGACCTGGCTGTTCGGGGTATTTGGGGGATGAATACCAGTTGAAAAATCTTTGCCTCTGCTTCTCTTTCAAATACACTGAAAACTTTTTTTTTTTTTTGGAAAGAAAAATTTAAAGGGGAAAATAAAGGGCAAGAAAACTACTCTCCATGATGTGATATGTTTAAGTGAGCCATTACCCTCCCACTTTCTCCTCTGTGCTTGGCTGAACACCATACAAGGCTACCTGGAAAGGTTGATGAAAAGTGAAATGAAGGGCCCACTACCATGGCCTAGTGGCTAAAAGTCCTCACCCTGAACGCGCTCGGTGTCCCATACGGGTGCCGGTTCTAATCCTGGCAGCTCCATTTCCCATCCAGCTCCCTGCTTGTCGCTTGGGAAAGCAGTCAAGGAGGGTCCAAACTCTTGGGACCCTGCACCTGTGTGGAAGACCTGGAGGAGGTTTTAGGTTTTTGGTTTCGGATCGGTGCAGCACTGGCCTTTGCGGTCACTTGGGGAGTGAACCATCAGACGGATCTTCCTCTCTGTCTCTCCTCCTTTATGCATATCTGACTTTCCAATAAAAATAAATAGATCTTTTTAAAAAAAGTGAAATGAAAAGACAAGTTTATTACGGTGCAAAACATTTTTGAAGTCCATACACAGTTTAAAAGATTTATTTGTCTTTATTGGAAAGTCAGATTTACAGAGAGGAGAGACAGAAAAATCTTCCATCCACTTGTTCACTCCCCAGGTGGCCACAATAGCCAAAATTGAGCTGGTCCAAAGCCCAGAGCTTTTTCTGAATCTCGCACATGGGTGCAGGGTCCCAAGGCTTTAGACTGTTCTCCACTGCTTTCCCAGGCCACAGGCAGGGAGCTGGAAGGGAAGTTGAGCAACTGAGATATGAATCGGCATCCATATGGGAGGCTGGCACATGCAAAGCGAGGACTTTAGCTACTAGGCTACCGTGCTGGGCCCACATATGCAGTTTTTTTAAAATAAACATTTTCTATTAACGTTTTGAAGTCTCCACATATGCACAGATTTAAATTTTTGTATCAAAATAAGCATCCTAATTCCATTTCCTCAAGATTTTTATTTGCTTTAGTGTACCCATCCTTGTGACTTTCTAACAAACTTCTTTCAAAGAGCCCTTTATTCTTACAGCCTCCTTCTCTCGTGCAGGTTCTTACATAGGAAAGACATCTCTGTTAGAGAAAAGTGCTCAGCAAATGTCTGATAGT